ACTACCACTGCTACTACCTCTACTGCTACTATCATTGCTACTACTACAGTTGCTACTGTTATTACCGTCATGCACTTGACTGGATAGCCAATCTCAATGGTATGAGTATTCTGATACGTCCCATCCTTGGGCGTCCACAGCCGTACCGTACCATCCCACGATGAAGTTACCAGTATCTATCGACACTAGTAACCCCAATCCCTATTCACACCAGTCACTACCCCTTGCAGGACCCCAAGACTATGCACGGCCTTAGCATGACCAAGCAGGTCGAACTGTGCACCCGTGGTCTTGTCAAAACTGCGTTGAAGACGCTTTTGTGGTAAACTCATTGTAGTAGTAGCCCTACACTCTAACTCGACCATCTTCAAGTCCGCAGAACATAACACCTCCGTTGGTGATGTTGCCGGCCTCGTTTCGGGTGGGTTCGAAGTAAACGGACATCACTGGTTGCCCATCCGTGTCAACGATGAGATCGGGAGTTAATTCAATGTGACCTGATGGGGGAAAATAATTACCGCTGCGCCACGAAATTATTCTTACCAGCAGGCGTTGGTACTGCCTTCCATGTGCGTAGTTTACCATCGGAGCCACCTGAGGACCTAATGTGTATCTTGCCAGCGGCAACCTTGGATACTACCAGTGAAAAGAGTGTCATCAATGAGTATAACGGCATTTATGCATTTTCCATCAGAATGGGCATCAACGACTTCATGCAATCTCTTCACATAGTGAACGAACCTAAAGATATTTTTCTTGCCCTGCATGGTGTCCACGGATTAGGTCCAACCAAGTCGTACCTGCAGTCGCTTCCCCGAGGGCAATCTCCCGTCATGAAAGCCCGACACGCCATAGTAATAGCGTCCTCATCACAGAGTGGTGGCGGCCCTGAGATGGTATCTTAGGTTCCCCCGTGGAAGATACGAATCTAGTACGGTCTTCCTTAACGGGACCACGACTGCCCTTTCCTCTAAAGGGGCCTCTAGGAGGCCCTCGTCCTCTGCCATGGCCACTGCCCCGTTGAGAAGCTGAGTTGAAATCGATTGTTGTTCTTTGCTGATGGCTGCTTTCTTATTACATCGATGCTTCATGCTGCCTCCGTGAGA